ACATTACAAACTCTACCTCAAACAAACTTTACAGCACTTTAAACCTTTAACAAACCCTTATTTCTTAATCACATTTATCAGATATGTGTTAATCTGTTGTGGGAACTGCAGAATTGTGTGTGCCTGGGTGCTGTGTCAGGAGTGATGTGTGTGTGAGCATGTGCGTGAAAAACGTGGTGAGCGAAAAAGAATGTCACCGCAGCAACCAGGAGCAGCGTTCTAATGGGCTACAGCCCATGCAGTGTGTTTTGAAATGTGCAGTACCGTTATTAAAGCCTCATGTCTTCAGTACTCCTGGGTGTCTCGGCTGATTTCTATCAGCCTCACTACTCCACAAAAGTGAAGGGAGGATAAAACTTCGGCCCTGGAGGAAGCATCTCCCCTTGCGTCTCCCGACCACAGACTGACAGCGAGGATTGGTTAACAAATCAATGCTACAAATTTTATATTATTTATCCAATAAACAAATTGACTAAATTAAAAAATAAGTTTATCACAGAAACACGTAAAACAAACAACACATAATTAACTGTCTCAGGGACAGTTACACCCTGGATTGGGCCATTTTATACCTCAACAATAACAAGTATTATTATGACTGTCTTTTTCTGGAAGCAACGTGGCAGTCCTGCTGACTCCCAACGAGTCTTCTTCTCCATTCACGTCCAACCTCACCTCGTATTTGCTCCTTTCCCTGGAAGAGAAAAGAAAAGAGAAAATGAAGAGAAAATTCCTGCCTAGCTTTGATTAATAATATTATCCTACCGATTATATTTATTATGAAAGTTCGTGACATTCTGTTCAGACTCCCTTTGCCCAGAAAATATCATCCTGACTGTTAACTAGTGTGATGTGTAAGCATGTTGCAAAAGCCATTATCACAATATTTCACTTCAGTCATAGCGCTGAATGAATCTGACCCTTAAAAACACGTAGCGCCAAGTCTTTAATGAGCACATTGCAATGTGTATATAAAAACCATAAAAACAAATTATTTTTAACCCTTTAAACCCTGACCTAATTTAGCCTTTAAACCAGGGGTGGGCAACTCCAGGCCCTGAGGGCCGGTGTCC